AAATGAAGTTTACATTTCAGGTTAGTCTTCCATACAAAAATTTATACAAACATTGTTATGTGACCCTAATTGCTCTCCCCTTACTGTGACAGCACGCTCCTCCTTTCCACCCCTGATTCCGCATGTCTGTTCAGCCAGCTCCTAACCCTCTCTACCTTCCCATCTGACCTCTGGACAGAAGCTGCCGGTTTAGTCTCTTGTATCTACTTGAGCTAAGAGGCATACTCCTCACAAGTATCACTTTATGTCCCACTGTCCAGTCCAATCCCTGTCTGAAGAGTTGGCTGATGTGTATTTTAAATTTAAATAATTTAAATTTACCTGTTGAATAAACCATATTTTTTAAGAAATTCTATTTTAAATTTACAGCGATGGCAACAAAATCATAGAGTTTAATAACGGCCAAAGAGAACTACATACCGCCCAATTCAAGAGACGGGAATATCCGGACGGCACTGTTAAAACTGTATATGCAAATGGTCATCAAGAAACAAAATATACATCTGGTCGAGTAAGAGTTAAAGACAAGGATGGCAATGTTTTAATGGATACAAAATTGTAATGATCCTTGATTAATCATGAGCTAACACTAGATTTTCTTTCTTAAAAATGTATATTTCTTGTGGATTCTGTTATTTAATTTATATATACTCTGTGTGTATCCAAATGGTAAAGATTATGTTTGGATTCTAAAGTTTATAGCTTCTTCATTTTTATGTTTTTGAAAAGCACAAGGACAGCTTTCATTTATAATTCACCTATTCTGTCTTTCTTCAGATAGACTCATGATTAAGGGAAGCATTATTAGTTAAACTGTGTCCATTAGATTTTAAAAGTAACAAATGGGTGCTTTTATTGGTTGGAGATGGTTATAAAAACCCACAAGCACAAGAAGTACATGTCCCACAAGGCACATCAGCCACAGAACACGGACTTGCAGGGAAAGTTTACACAAGGAGCAAGTGGATCTCACTGTATCCAAAATATTACTATGTTTAATTGCTATCAAAATTAAAGCACATGATGTACTACAGAGGTTCATTAATTTTAATAGAATGGGGGGGGTAAAACAGTGAATACAAATAGGTCAAAGAGTCAAACAGGTAAAAGTTCACTCTTTGAGTACAGTAATCTTTTTTTTTCCTTCTACATTTTATTTATTTTGTTATTGTTGAGCAAAACATACACCAATTCAACAGTTTCTACATGTACTATTTAGTGACATTGTTTACATTCTTTGAGATTTGCAACCATTCTCACACTGCTTTTCTGAGTTGTTCCTCCCTTATTGACATAAACTTATTTGCCCCCTAAGGTTCCTGTCTAATCTTTCAAGTTGCTGTTGTCAGTTGGATCCTGTATAGATAGTTCTTAAAAGAGCATAATGCTCAAGGCAGACCTTTTTTACTAGTTAAGCTAAACTGCTGTTCTGTTTTAAGATGATTTCAGGGGATATTTTTGGTTTAAGGTTTAAAGATTATCTCAGGGCAGTAGTTTCAGAGGTTCTTTCACCCTCCCTGGCTCCAGAAAGCCTAAAGTCCACGAGAATGTGAAATTCTGCTCTGCATTTCCCCCTTTTGGATCAGGATCCTTCTATGGAGTTTTTGATCAAAATGTTCAGTAATGATTCTACCTTGGTGAGTAGTGTCTGGGGTCTTAAAAGCCTGTGAGCGGCCATCTAAGATACTCCACTGGTCTCATCTCTTCGGGAGCAAGTGAG